GTAATCACAAGAAACACAAATGAGAGAGTGATGACAGTGATTCAGGGAAAAAGGAAACCCATGAGACTCACATTTATTATGAGAACTGAACTCCAGGGGCAGCTGGGGTCCCCCCTGGTGGAGACCTGGTGAGACCCATGAGGAGGGAGCCCGCCTCAGAACTGCAGCACCAGAGCATGTGGAGGCTGCACGGTTTCCCAGCACCTCCCATCCTCATTCACTGGGGATTGCTGTCAAGGTCATTAACCCCCCCCACACACACCCCTGTACACATCTGGGTTGCACCTGGATGTGGAGAACCAGCACAGGTGAAGGTAAGCCATCAGGAAGAGGGGAAGGGAAATGTCCAGGCTTGATGCAGTAAGTTCTCAGTGTGCTGGAAACTTGGTACCACCGTCACAGGTGAACTCAAGAGGTGGACTGTTGGCAGGATGGGATGGGGCATCGGGAGTGTCCGCTACGGTCAGCAGTCGCCGACAACATTTGCATCTGTAGAGAAACAAATGAAGTGATGCCTAGAAAGGAGGCATCTCCTTCCTATGATAGAAGAAGCTGAGACATGAGCTATTGTGATATAAACAAGGGCTCGAACAATAGGTCACACCACCACTTTCTTTCGCTGTCACTCTCCATTGTTGCCTTAATTTTTTTAGATCTCCATTGCCAGATCAGTGAAACAAAATCTATGCGATCTATTCAATCTTGCTGGCAGAAGATTTAGGAGAACAAAATGAGAAAGTGTGGGTGTAGATAGCTGAATAAAACTGAACAGTATTTTATGCTGGATTTATTTATTCAACCAACATTATTGAATGCCTGCCTACAACCTGTCAGGACCTATGCTAAGCATTAAAGATCAGACAATAAATAAGACCAAGAAAGTCCTTGTTCTCAACGGAGCTTATAGTCTATTGGGAGATGCAGACTGAAAAAAAAGGGAGGAAGTTTAATCAAGTGTAGTGAGCACCGTGGTGGAATAAATACAAGGTACGAAAAGAATGCAGGCAGGAGCACCTGATTCAGGCTCGGGGGGCTCAAGAAAGCTTCCTGGAGAAGGTGATGTCTAGGCTGAGTCTTGAAAGATGATGAAGAGTCAGCCTGGCAAACATGGAGAGGCGTGTTTCAACAGGGCTGATAGGGAGACGTGGGAAGAGAGGGGGCCTGATGGATGGAAAGGCTCAGCAAAGATGGAAAAGAATATAATGTGACTAAGGATCTGAATCCTGAAGCTTAGGGAGTGAGGAGTGGAAAAGCCTGGAGAGGGGTGGGGCTTAGAGGTCCCCCAGGTTCAGATTGCAAACAGTGTTGGAACTAGATTAGGGGGTTTGACTTTTTCTGGAGGGCAGTAGGGACTCAAGGACATTTTTAGAAAGAGGAGAAATGTGATCATGTTTGTAGTACAGAAAAATCCCCCTGGCTGCTGAAAAAATAAAAGATGACAATGAATTTGACGGTCCTGGTCCTATGGCTTTGGGCCAGGGCTATCACTAGAACGGGAGGACCACAGACCAGAACCACCTCCTGCAAAGTGCCTCTCTTTTGACATCCTGCTTCCTTCGCCCACAACTCCTACAGACCTCTGCCCAACCCAGATCTCTGCTTCTGCTGGTAATCTCAAATCTGTTTTTAAGTGGTGGTAAATACACACATCAAGTTTACCATCTGAACCATTCTAAATGTGCAGACATCCCCACCATCTAACCATAGAGCGCTCTTCATCTTACAAAACTGAAACTCTGTCCCCATTAAACAATAACTCCCCATCTCCCCCTACCCCCAGCCCCTGGCAACCACTACTCTACTTTCGGTCTGTAAGACTTTAATTACTCTAAGTACCTCCTATAAGTGAAGTCCTATCATAGTTGTTCTTTGGGGACTTGACTTACTGTACTGAGCATAAAATTCACTCATGTTGTAGCATGTATTGAGATTGCCTTCCTTTTAACGGCTGAGTAATATTCCACTGTGTGCGCAGACCACATTTTGTTTATCTGTTCATCCATTTATGGACACTTGGGTTGCTCTCACCTTTTGGCAACTGAGAACAATGCCTCTGTGAACTTGAGTGTACAAATAGCTCTTCAAATCCCTGCTTTCAATTCTGAAACTTTTACCTGTTGCCACATGTCATTTTTGACCCGTTTCACATGTGCACATCTTTTCTTCTTTATTAAAGATTATGGAGGATCTTACCATGGGTGCAGTTCTTTTCCTTTTGGAGGTATCCATCAAACCCCAGTCAATACAGTTTTCCTAGCAGCCAATGTGCAATAATGGAGAGTGTAGAGTCCAAAACTAAATCTAGGTTCCAAGTCTAATGCGTCCAGTTATTAACTGTATAAAGTTAAACAAATTATCTTACTCTTTAAGGCTCAGCTTACTCTTCCTTAAAATGAGGAGGGTACCCCTCCTACACTGTTGGTAGGAATGTAATTTGGTGCAGCCACTGTGTGGAACACTATGGAGCTTTCTCAAAAAACTGAAAGTAGAGTTGCCATATGATCCAGCAATCCCACTCCTGGGCATATATCCAGAAAAAACTCTAGCTTGAAATGATACATGCACCCCAACATTCATAGCAGCACTATTTACAATAGCCAAGACTTGGAAGCAACCTAAATGTCCAACAACAATAAATGTATAAGAAGATATGAGATATATATATATTATATATATGTGTGTATATATATATGGAATGAATACTACTCAGCCATAAAAAAGAATGAAATAATGCCATTTGCAGCAACATGGATGGACCTGGAGATTATCATACTAAGTGAAGTAAGCCAGAAAGAGAAAGAAAAATACCATACGATATCACTTATATATGAAATCTCAAGAAAAAAAAATGATACAAATGAACTTATCTACAAAACAGAAAGAGACTCACAAACATAGAAAACCAACTATGGTTTCCAAAATGGGAAAGGTGGGGGTGCAATAAATTAGGAGTTTGGGATTAACAGGTATGCACTATCATATATAAAATAGATGAACAACAAGGACCTACTGTATAGCACAGGAAACTATATTCAATATCTGGTAATAATCTATAATGGAAAAGAATCTGAAAAATTATATATATGTGTGTGTGTGTGTGTGTGTCTAATTGAATCACTTTGCTGTGGACCTGAAACTAAGACAACATTGTAAATTAACTATACTTCCATAAAATAAAATGAGGATGAATCTTACAGTTGAGTACACACAATAGTAATTATACAAAGTGTTATATAACCAGCATAGTTTAGGAACTCCGTGCATAAAAAGTGATGCTCAAAAAATAATAAATGTTATCTTCTGACACTACTGAGAAATGCTGGATTTACAGTGTGCAAGTCAGCAAGGAAACAAGTGAGGTTGCTGGACTGTCAGGACTGAAGCAGCTGGGGGCGTCCTGACTCCCGTTCCCCCTGACCTGAGGCAGAGGAAACACGGCCAAGGTGGGGTCTCCCGCCCCATAACGCTGCAGGCCCACCCCAGGTCTGGGTGACTCAGAACCCACGTGGCGCCTTTCTGCACAGGTTCCCCAAGTCAACTGCTTAGCTTTGGACAGGGAACTGGGGTAAAGAGGAAGAGAGACGAAAGGTAAAATTCCCCATTGTCCGGCCACGGTCCAGGAGAGCCTGGGGAGGGCTCTTCCTCGGGCAATTGGCCTCATTTCTATTCAGGCTTGTTTCAGCCAAGACATATTCCCCATGCTCAGAACCCATGTGACTGATTTCTAACTGTCCCCACCAGCTCAGTCTTCTATTCCAATCAAAACTTTCCCTTGCAATTTTGCAAATGACTCAGATCTTTCATAGAATGAGGCACAATCGAAACACTAGTCATTATCTTAGTACTTGGAGGCCAGAGTATAAAATATATGATTTTAATTACTGGTGGACATCTGGCAAAGCCCATACTGTTATAACTTAAAAGTATTTCCAGACTATTAAAAAAATTCTAATTTCTGTCAATGTTTAGGGAAACCAGATATCACCATAATACAACCCAAACTTGTGGATGATAAATTTTCCTATAAGGTCATCAAATCTTTGCCTCCAAAGTAAGAAGCAAGTTAAGAGGGACATTTTACCACTCATGGCGGAAGAACTTTGCAAAACAAACATCTGGCTACTTTGTTGCTGGGATTTCAACATTTAAAAAAAAAAGGAAAGAAAAGAAAGAAATCAAAGCCACAGCCCTGGGAAGGAGGGAGCTTGTTGGTAGAGTTATCACTTAGCATGCTCAAGGTCCTGGGTTCAATCCCCAGTATCTCCATTAAAATAAATAAATACTGTACGATTTACTTACAGATGACAAATCTGGGCATCAGTTACTTCTCCCCCGACCAAAACATTTAAAAAAAAAAAAAAAACCAGAGCCCCCAAGTCCAGAAGTCAGCGTACCAGGAGCTGTAACAGGGCATTAGAGGTGTTTAGTCCAAGGCATGTTTTCTTCAAAGTTTCTGGAGCAAGCAGTCTCCAAAACAAATGCCAATGGTTTCTGCAGACAAAGGACAAAGACCCTCGTCTGCAGACACTTCCTTTTCGAAAGTGCTCCTAGCGGGTGACTCAGCCTGGTGACTCTTCAGAAGGGAGTGCCTTTCGCTTCAGGAAGGGCTAAGTGACTCCGTGACACTTGTTCAGAGAGGCCTGGGGCTTTTTCCCCCCCAGACATCAGTAGATGCCCCGAGAAAGGGAGAATGAACATCGGTTATCTTCCTCAACAGCCTCCAGCAGGCAATGCCCGTTCCCTCCCGGTGCCCTTTTGCGAGCCCAGCGTGGTTGTGTTGCTTCAAGAGGTGCAGCCGCAGTGAGGTGATGTAGTTCCAGACCCTGAGAAAGGAAAAGGTGAGGGAGAGGAAGGGTGTTAAGATTTAGAAATTACCTGCTCGCTCCCCACAATTCTGGTTGAGGCTTCTTTCAGCAACGGAGGTGGCCAGTCCTCTGTTAGAGGGCTTGTGACTTCTCCCGGGGTTTTCCTTAGCTGCTTGTCCTGTGTGTATATTGTAGGGGTGTGTGGGCAGCTGGAGCAGGGCCTGGACTGAAATACTGGAGAGGGCCCTAAAGTCAAGAGTGACGACTTTTGCAGTCAGACTCCTCTGTGTTCGAATCCCACCATGGGACTCACTGCTCTGATGCTCAGATTCGTCATCTGAAAGTAAATCGTATGGTGTTATTTTGCTCATAAGAACATGGAAAACAGTAGCATCCACCACTGTATTTAATGCGTAGTCAGCTGAAATAAGTGAGTGAAATGAATGAATGAAATTCTAGGTGAAGCAACGGATATGCAGGAGTGACTGGACACGTGACAGCATCATTCTTTGTAGTACTAGGAGGGACAACGTGGCCTGCCTGGGCTTGCTCATCTAAAGTGTCGCTCATGGTGTGACCTTGCCCTAAAGAGATCTTTTCAGTTTTGTGATGTGATTCACACCTTGTTAGCAGCAGAGTTCCAGAATCAGAAAGTTATCCAACAGGCTCCTCTGGGGGCCGTCTCTAGGATACGGTATGGCAGCAGAATCCAAGATTAGGATTATTTCTAATGTACACATCGCTGACCATCATTAAAGGTCAGGGTGGCAGGCTGATAAGTAACCAGGAGAAAGCATAATTTCTAAAAAAGGAGTGGTAGTTTAATGGCTCAACCTGGCTTTGAAGTCAGCTATCTTTATTTATTAAATTATTTTGACATTCATCTGGCCGTACGCATTTATTACATACCTAATCTCAAAAAATGATACATATGAATTTATCTACAAAACAGAAAGAGACACACAGACATAGGAAACAAACTATGGTTACCAAAAGGGAAAGTGAGGGAGGGATAAATTAGGAGTTTGGGATTAACATATACACACTACTGTATGTAAAATAGATCAACAAGAAGGACTTACTGTATAGCACAGGGAGCTATATTCAATATCTGGTTAATTATAGGTTATTACCTATAATGGAAAAGAATCTGAAAAAGTATACATATATATACATATATATATATATAAACTGTATATATATATCTCGAATCACTTTGCTGTACCCCTGAAACTAACACCACACTGTAAATCAACTATACTTCAACTTTAAAAAATCTGTGCCATCCATGCCATCTAAGAGGGAGGGCCTGACAGATCACATGAGGTATCTAAGCCTCTCTCCCTGCTCAAACCCCCTGGACAGCTCAAAGCAGTGCCTTTCTCTGATATCAGCAGTGGCACAACTGTCAAAGTTTTACATAACGCGAACAAAATTGCCTTCTCTTTCTGAGATACAGGGCGAGAGATGTGGACGTTTTCCTGGAGGGGATTAGTCAAAGAGCAGAGGCTGGCAGGTATGAATCATGCTGTGCTGACCCTGAGTGTGGGAGCCCGACTGACAGAGATGCCCGGGGAGGGTTGATAATTGTACCTTTGCTCTTGTGGTTGGGTTTGTGGTACCAGGGGAGTCGGAAGCACGGAGTTCAGGGTAAACATCTTTCTTGTCTGGGTCTAAGGACATCCATGGGTCAGTGAATAACTCCCAGATGGCATCTTTTGCCCTTGATTACTAAGTTCAAAATGCTTTCAGAGAGAAAACTGGCTTGTCTACCCTCATTATCTGCTTAAAACTCTGGATTCCAGCTTTCCTTCAGAACTTTTTCAGGAATTTTTCACTGTCTCATGAGCTCCTTAGTGCTTTTAAAAGAGATCCTGAAAATATTTTTTAGTCTAGATTTGAAGCTGCTTTTATTGAGATCACTGATCTCAAAAGCCTTTTTTTGTTTGTTTTTTTCTGAATTCAGTTTGGATTTCCCCCAAGTTGGCTTCTCTCCACCCACCCCCTGACCGCTCACCACTCTGTTAAGATATTTATTGTCAAAGCTACTTAAAAACCTCCATGTTGCCAACCAATAAATGTTTTACTAGACTGTTCAGCTTTCTGATGTTTCTTCTGCTTCACCAAATGTTCCTTCTCAGTATTATTTTCCAACTTCCTCTACTTTACAAGAACAGTTACACAGAGATAAGGTGCTTTCATTTATATGTATATATTCTAAAAATCTATAGATAATTAGAATTAATGAGTAATTTTGTAGAGAGGGGAAAAGCAGAAAGAAATTCTCATTATCCAACAGAAGGATGATTTTAAAAAAGAGGAAAAAAAGAAGAATCAAGAAATAGCATGAAAACACACAAGAAGTTATACAAATAATTCCAAATGTATCCATCATTCCAATAAATATAGAGGTATGATCATCAGTTAAAAGATAAAGAGCCTCTAATCAGATAAAGAAAAATTACGTTATATGCAATTTACAGGCAGTACAGAAAAGATACTAATGACAAACAGGAAAAGATGCTAATATAAATAAAGATGTTAAATTGTACACCAATATTAATGTCAGCAATTAGATTTAAAGCTATAAAGGAATGTTTGTGATAAAGATAACCAAAGAGGTTAATTATGAAATAAACAATTTCCCAGGAAAATAAAATAATACTAAACCCATCTAGCTCTAAAAGTGTAACCTCAAGATATGTAAAGCCAAGTGTAGACAGAATTATAAGAAAAATTGATAAAATAAAATCATAGAAGATTTTGCTTGTCGCTTGTCAGAAACAGAACCCGGAAAAATGGAAAAAAGTGAAAAAAATCAGAAAGAACAATAACACATTAGGAGGAGGGTATACCTCAGGGGTAGTGCCCATGCTTAGCATGCATAAGGTCCTTGGTTCAATTCCCCAGTACTGCCGATACATAAATAAACCTAATTATCTTCCCCCTAAAAAATTTGCATAAATTGTTGTACAAAAACCTGTCCTCAACAATTAATATACTCATTGTTTCATAACAGACATAGAACACTGATAAAAACCGACCGTGTTTCAGAATGTGCCTGGACTATATTAAAAATAAAGTATCAAAAATATCTTTACAAATACCCAAACAACTCATTCAAATTTTTTTTTATTTTAAAAAAATTTGAGTAGTTGCGTGTTTCATAAGTCAAAGAGGAATTCAGAATAGGTGATTAAAATACCTGGAGAACTGAAAAATCCACACTATACTCATGAGTAGCGACTGAAGTAACAGAAGACGGGAACCTTAAAGGCACAGGTGAAGAAATGAGCACAGATGCAAACATTTAGTGAGCTCTGTGTTCAGTTTATGAAGGTGAAAGACTAACAGAGTGGACATGAAGAAAGGAAGGGGAAATAATACAGAGGAGAAAGACAAGAGGAAGAAAAACAAAGAGGATTAACAGGAGTCAAAGCTGTTTCTTTGAAAAGATTAATAACATAAGGCACATCCCTGAGAGAAAAAATACAGAGACAGAGACAGGAAGAGAGAGAGAAAGAATTGTTAGAAATTATGTCATTAAAGTTACTCAATTGATGGTCAAAAATCTACCTCGCCCTCCATTTCCCCATTCTCCTACCAAAAAATCCTAGCTAGAAAGTAACTTAAAGCAATCAATGTGCAATATATTCTAGGAAACAAGAGAAGAGCAAGCAGCATTCTAAATCACTTTATAAAGCTAATATAATCTCAGTTCTAAAACTGGACCCAGAAAGTATCAAAAGGAGAAACTGTAGGGCAGTCTTGTACAGGAACACAGAGGCATTTACCCAAAATAAAATACTAGGAAACTATTGAATCCAGCCATTTTTTCAGTGAGCAAGTACAGTGCATCCTAGTAATTCATAATTTAATATTATAAAACACACAACTGTAATTCACTACTTTAACAAATTAATGATTAAAGGAGATAAACTGTAGTTGTCTTAATAAATGCACAAAAGCATGTGTTAAAATTCAGTATTTATGATTTTTAAAAATCTTAACAAACAAAGGCATTAAAAAATGGCCTTAAAACTTTAAAAAGCTTGTCAGTCAACATCCAAAACTGAATATTGTATTTAATGCTAAAAGATTAAAGGATCCCCTCTTAAGTAAAGAAAAAGATAAGGATGTCTGTTACCAGCAATTCCTTTCGGAACTATACCCTCAGTATAGGAAAATGTAAAAGATGTGCAATTTTTAAGAAGCAAAGCAAATATTATTTAAAGGTGTTATGGTTATTTACATAGAAAAGAAAAAAAATACAAACTAGTAGAATTAGTAAAAATGCATCAACATTCCTCGATAAACAATAATGTCTTATGCTGACAATAAAAATTTAGGAAATATAATTTAACAAATCTTATCCAAGAGAGCTGCAAGAGTACATAGGAATATATTTTAGAAAAGTAGAGAATGAAGTTTACAGAAAATTTATAAAGTTTTATTGAAGGATATTCTAAAAAGATCAAAATAATTGGTGATACAAGTCACATTTGTGAATGGAAACACTAAGTATCTGTAATTGTAACCATTGCTCCCACGGTGGATTTTTGTTTGTTGTTTTTAAAAACATTTAACTTATGGATACTAAAATTAACATGGAAAAATAATAAGGGCCAAGGATTGCCAAACTGCACAAATGAGAGAGAAGAGGAGGATGGACTATATTATCTTGTATAAAGATAAAGTAAATATACAAGATTTATTATAAGGACACTAATTAGGACAGTGTGGTATAGAAGCTGGAATGCGCAATAAAAACAAACGAACAACAAAGAAACCAGAACAGACTGTGCATTTATACAAGCTTGTTATAAGGTGGCTTTAGAAATCAGTGATTCCGTGGTGGAAAAAAAATTGACTGTATGATAGATATCGTTGGAATAATTATCCATTCGTAATAAATTTCCATGCCACAGGATAATATGACAGCAACGATCACAACAATAGTTAACATTCGTTGAGTCCTCGTTAGATGCCGGCCACTGTATATAACACCACATGCGTTTAATTCATTTAACCCTTTTTCTCGGTCAATGAGATATTTCATTTTCAGATGAGTCAATCGAGTCTCAGAAAGAGACAGAACTTGTCACAGTGGCACAGCGAGCAGGTGGCAGAGGCAGGACCCTGCTTTGAACACAGCCGTCTGGCTCCGGAACTCTAGCTTTTAACTATTTCACACAATTGCATTGTGATGAAAATGAAATTTCCCAGGGGTCAGGGTCCTCAAGGTGAAAAACACAAACCTTAAAACTCCAAGGAACCACTTTAGGACAAATGATCTAGGTTGGGAAAAAAGTTCTCCATACATATTTACTAAATTTATAAACATAAGCACAGACTATCATTTAACAGCCTGGAAATCACAGATATGTATTAGATGGGAGGAGGAAGGCTGGGACAGGGGAGGGAGTTTTTAAATGTTTCTGTGATTTTTTGGGTTTTTTTTTTAAACAATGATCTATGACCGATATGAAAAAGTGATATTTTGTTTAAATCTGCTTGAGGGAGAGTATATGCCTGTTTTTTTAAAACACATAGTTAACATTTCCTAAATACTTGAATGTTTAAAAATAGATGCAAAGTGCATTTTTTTTAAAAAGAATAATTTGGGGAAGAGGAAGTGAAGTCAGTAAACACAGAACAGCTTAAGAAATACGTTTGCGGAGTTTTTAATGAGGCAGCAGGAGGTTGAGAACTAGATAAGCTCCTTTACAACTTTCTCATTCTTCTTCTTCCGAATACACACCAATGAGTCCACCAATGAGATGAAAGTACTCACAACGGTCCATTCTCAAACTCTGGTTCTCACCTGGGGCACCTGCTGCTTTGTGCATTGTGGTTCCTCCGGTTACTCAGTAAATACTTGTTGATTGAGCCACTTACAATTTGGTATTAAACCGTAATCAACCAGATTAACCCTGTTAATTCAGAAAATGCCTAACAGGTGTTCCTTTGGTACAAAATTGATTTTCCCAGGCATTGCATTGGGGAAAGAAAGCTGGTGGCCTTTGACTTCACTCCTTTCAGTAGCAAAACGGATTAGAAAGTTTGTGCACATTGTGCTTAAAGAAAAGAAGCTTCCTTGAGCATTTCACTGTCACATCCTCAGCTGATATCTCTCTTCAGCCATCTCTGGCTCACCTTGAATGCCCTCTCCCCGCCCCTTGAGAATTCCACAAAGTGAAATATCCATTTCAAGCAGGACCCTTGGCTTCTGAAATGGTTCCCACCATTTGTAGCGGTTCTCTCTTCCTCACGGGGGTTCCATTTGCCTTCCTCAGGGTATCCCTGGATCGCTGAGGCCACTCTGCACAAAACAAAGGTGTGTTCCTCCTGCTTCTCTTCTTTCACCTTTGCACTCATGGTTATTTGAACTTGAACTGGATTGAGAACACTTGCATTTGAGATGCTTCCTGATTTTAACCATTTCTATCACATTTGGCTAATTTCCTAGAACCAGGATGCGTGGACAATTCTGGCTTTGCTGTTGATGCTGAGTTGTTTTTTCAGCAACTTGTGTGGTGAATACCTTTGCCCTAGCTTTCCAAGTCAAGTGTGCTTTGGGACATATCTGCACTGTTATGATGTCCATTAATGTTAATTAATATTCATTTACAAATTATCCATTCTTTCATATTTATTTTTCCACTTAATAATAATTCATTGACATGCCTGACAGAGGAATGCAAAGATAAACAAGCCTTGCTCACTCCTGTCTCCCAGAAGTTTTTGCTCATAGTGAGAAAAGAGAGAAATCCATTTTCCTTTGTTCTCATTTTTAACCACAAAGAGCTCTTAAGTCAGAAATAGTCCAAGACGTGAATGCTTGTTATTTTGAGACTTGACTGGTGTTTTGGTTTCCCATCTTGCCAGCTCAGTGGGTTATAGGAAGTCCCCTTTGCACGTGACCTACTGTACTGAGGGCTAAATTAGTTATTTTGGGCTGACCATGAACATTTCACAAAGCAGCTTGGGCTCAATCTCATGTTTTGATTCCCTCCCTTGACAAGCCTCACATAGAGAGCAATCGTCTGTATATTCTTCTGCTAACTCACTTCTAATATCACTCTGATCTTCCCTTACTTTTATATTTAAAAAAAAGTGACTATATAGGTAATATTTAATTGTGTTTTTATTTAAAAAATATATCATCATTGAACTAGTCAGCATAGATTAGGATATGCTTCATTAATAAAAAAAATTAAAATCTTAGGACAGCATGGTTTATTTCTTCCTCCTAATATGGGCCCTGAGGCTCATCTTGGGTTCTCTTTTGCTCCATCCTTCACTCCAGGACACAGGCTGTTGGAGCAGCCCCAACCTGGAGCACAGGCAGTGCTGTGGCAGAGAGGAGTGTTCACTGATAAGTGCAGCTGAGACAAGAGGGAAGAGGGCAGGGCACAGCCATTCAAGGGATGACCCAGCAGTTAACACCAGATGGTGGAAGATTCAAGCCCCAGTAGACCTTGAGGCCCAAGATGGCGGGAGATTTGACTTCCATTAGACCTTGAGCTTCGTTATATGCTCATTGTAATATATTAGCATGGTGAATGACACTCCCACAGGCACCATGACAGTTCCAAGGATGACCATAAAAGGTCAAAAAGTGAGTGGTGGCCCAATTCCTAGGAATCCCCACCCCTTCCCAAAAGTAGTTGGAATAATCTTCCCACTTGTTAGCATATGGAGCTACCAAGACCAGAAAAACTAACGACCGCCACACCTCCCTTCTGAGTGAGACGGCCTGCACGCTGTCTATGGAGTGTGTATCTCTCTGAATAAATCTCCCTTTACTCAACTGTGGCTCGCTTTTTGAATTCTTTCCTGCGCGAAGCCAAGGACCCACCCTTGGCGGGGCACGTCCCAGGGACTCAGCCGGGACCCGGGGCATGGCTCTCCCCCGATCCTACATTTTTTT